AACGTCAAATAAAATAATGTGCCACTTTTGAGATTACCCAGTGGTGTAGTGGGGTTTTTTTAAGTGGGTGTACGTGATTCTGGGATGTTCTATATATATATATATACAGAACATCAATCATAGGCTACAAAACCAGTTGAACTAACGTTAAATTTAATGTTTTACTACTCCAAAATAATCACAGGCCAACGTTATCAAGCATAACTTAGAACAATGATCAACAAACATTTCAATAAAAATTTAATGTGACGTAGGGAGAAGTGGGTGGACGGCATACCCCCGCGTACCATGCCCACTACACCCCTGTATGTATATATGTGTGTGTGTGTGTGTGTGTATATGTATACACACACACACACACACACACACACATACATTCGAAAAGAGTCAAGCCAGCCTCATCAAAGGTTTTTAATAACTCTATACTGTGTGTGAGTAGATAGATGGATAAACAGATAGATATCGTTTTATGCCATTCACCATGTTACCGTAATACAGAGTGGAGAGATACCAACCGTTGCTGAGCCTGGCTTGACTCTTTTCGAGTGGACGGCTGGCCTAACTGCAGGAAGTAGGCTATGATGTATTTCCTTCCAGCACAATACGCAACATTCAATACACCTCGTCAATGTACCTATTTATGATCTACACTCGTAACACTGAACATAGAATAGAAAATGGGTGGTGGTGTAATTCTATTATCGATACATTGTAGAATTGATACGGTACGGAAGAGTTGACATACACAACACAATCTTGGTTACACTGATCATGAACTGTCGTAATCTTAAAATTACAACCGCTCATTTAAATAATAAAAAAAATAAACCATGGTAAACACAGGGTTAACTGCAATTCAACCATATACTTTCACGTGTAATCATGTTTTAATTTTTAAATTTACTTTAACTGGATAAAGAAGAACAATTACCTGACCCGTATTTGACATCGTGGGAATGGAGACGAACGCTATGTCTGGTGTTCATCAGTTTTACCAGTGAACCGCAGGTGACATCTTTATACTCAGTCTCTCTTCCCTCGAAATGTGACCACAACACAAAAAACACCAGTAATTTAAGAAGAACTGCGTAACTACTCTCCATCTTCATGCGACAGTAGAATGTCCAATGCCAAGAAAGCGTAAACCAACCAACCAAGTTAAAACGTCATAGCTCGGTTTAGCCAATCCTGGCGTGACATGCAATAACAAGGAAGTAAGCGCTACTTTATAGAAACAAAGTACGCGTTCGGAAATTCTGGCCCAATCCCAATACCCACACTCTGCCCACCCCTGAATTATGTGTTCCCGTCGAAGCTGTAACGAGAGGTGTCCAAATTCTCCGATGTGCTTTGTCGCCCAGCCCCTTTGAGAGATGTATGGAGGCTACACGATAAGGAGCCTTTTAAGGTGTGAAAGGACCCAGCTTGCGAATTGTCTTTGTAGAATTTGGAAACCACGCGCCATCAAGTTGCGCCGAAATGGCGTCACGCGGCCCGAAAATGTGGCCGGCGGAGGACACATCTGGTGAATTTGCACGTCCTCTTCCACGATTCCTTCAAACGCAGTGTTTACCCACAACTCAATGCGGATTTGACCCAAATATAGGGAAACTGACGACGTTCGGTGGAATTCCTTTAAATGCACCAAACGCCTTTTCACGGATAAATAGCAAATTTAACATACTTTATATTTTTTATTTGTTGCAATTCCAGCTTTGTTTTCAAGTCACCTGCATATTTTATCCTGGTGTACTTGCGTTACTAAGCGAACTTCTGCGCATATGACACAGAATGTGCACGGGGTGCAAATATTACAAATAATAGGGCAAGAAGCCGGAGTGGGGGTCGTAGGCTGCCGTGTGGGTATTTGAATTATTTCATCAAACTCTGACGCCCGTGCATTTCGTGTGTGTGTGTGTGTGTGTGTGTTGGTGTTTGGAGAGGCAGAGTGGGTTCCCAGTAATTTCCGAACGCAGGCTATGGTCTCAACCAGTCAGCAGCTCTTGCTTAAAATGGTTCCATCTGTGCTACTTGACGCACTGGCGCAACATGTCCTAGGTCGAAGCGCCTAGTGCGCGCACTGGCACTATGAATTTCCGAACGGCAAATTTGAGCAATACACTGACTTTCCCCACGGTCGGAGTCAACCTGGAGCGTTTTTCCGAATGCAGCCAGATGATGGACGTTTTGAGAGTTCGTGGATGGAAATTCTGCTAAAACACTCCAATTGAAATTGTTATTGATAGGTGAAAGGATTGTTTTCATAAAAACCCTAGGTGCATGAGGTTGAATTGCTCCTCGTAAATAATCAATACATCACTACAGATGGACATTTGTGATAATTATTGTCAGTATTATTTTTCGATGATGATAATAATGATAATAATAATAAAAAGAATGTACCATACCTCCAGTCCACCAGATGGGAGTAATGCATCTTCAAGGAAACTGCCAACTGCCAGTCAAGTTAGAGGAAGAACCGGACGAAGAAGAGCCGTCAATTCAATGTAACGACTTGTAACCAGTAACTATTTGTATCGCACTTATTTTAATTTGTGCTGAGTACACCAAAATGAAGACGGTTTTGATGGTGGCAGAAAAACCTTCCCTGGCTCAGTCAATTGCCAAAATTCTTTCTAAAGGTCGGTACGGATTCATAATTTGTGCCCTACTACAAAGTTAGGCGTTTCATATTGAGTGAACACAAATGAACAATACTGTACAATGCGCCTTATCGCCAGGTGACAAAAGTCAGAAAATACGGGTTTTCTGTTCTCTCGGCACTTAATTTCAAACGTACGATTTTAACGTGTTCTCGATCGAAGACTTCATTTTGAAGCATCAACGTCGTCCATACTCGTGATTCGCATCATCCACCGAATCAGAGGGGTTTTGTTTATGGTGCAATTGTGTTCATGGTGCAAGTGCACTTGCATGCATCACATTTAGTCGCAAACCTGCCCTCCGAGCTTTGTACTATGTTGTTTTTTGCAGGAATGGCTTCATTTTTTTCCAGTCGTGGGCCTACATATTTTAATCACGTGTAACATACCTTAAAAGGACACTAGAATGGACTGAACATTGACACTTGTAATCGGTCTGTGTGTAAAAACTATGTCAACACTAAAATTCACCCCCGACAACAATCCGTCATGATTTAAGAGCTTTTTTTGTGATGACACCCCTTCCCCCCAATCTCAGCTCACTCACTGTCTGAAATGGTCATTAATTGCCACCAAAATTCATCTGCACATTCCTCTTCTTGTCCTTTTAAACCTGTGAAAATATAAAGGGGATCTGCACAATATTTTGGATTTTAAATGTAAGCTCGACCCTGGCCAAGCTTTCTGACACCGGACAGGACATTTCTTTCTGGAATACTTTGATCTTTTTGAGATTTCATTGTACCCTGAGCAGATAAAAGACACAATGTGTATAGATGGCAATTTTCCGCCGTTTTATTTCTTAAATTGATCATTTTTGTGAATCGTCTAAATCCGTTGAGAAAATTTTAGGGGCGGTCAGGTACCTTATCGTCGAGTTTTCACGAGCTCTCCCGAACAGTCTCACCGTTTTCCGTTTGTAAACAGCCCTGCGATTGGACGTGTATGAAAGCTTCAACTAATCAGATCACTGAAGGCATTATTTGTTGCGAAAGTCTAAGCTCGATTATATACGGCCCAGCGATTGGTTAACTACAAGCGATTGGACCAATCAAATTGCATGTAACATATTGTTTTACCTGATTCATGGCGGCCTGTTCGTCTCGCAAATTCATTGTTCTGGGATCGTTTTGAGCGGAATTATGAAATTTATGACGAAAGATCAGGAGTCTTCAATCCTAGAAATTGACTCAAATGTCAAGAATAAATTCCGATTGGACTGGCTTGACAGAAAAGTCACTGTAAAGGTTAAAATTGGTTCCAAGTTCGACGAAGTTACAGAAGCTCTTGGACAAT